TGTTTCATAACAAATAAAACTTACACAAACTCATATCTCATTTGCAGGTACTTTCCTGAAGGCATAGACATATATTTTGACAATGTTGGTGGGGACATGCTTGATGCTGCACTGTGCAACATGAGGGTTCATGGTAGGATTGCTGTCTGTGGGGTGATATCTCAGACCAGCATCTCCAATCCAAAAGGAATCACCAATCTGTGGAATCTCATAACGAAGCGTGTGAACATGAAGGGATTTCTACAAAGCGACTACTTGGACTTATTTCCCCGTTTCTACGACGAGGTTAGTAACTACTACAAGCAGGGAAAGATTGTTTACATTGAAGATTTGAAGGAAGGCTTGGAAAATGCTCCAGCTGCCTTTGTAGGACTTTTCTCTGGAGATAACTTAGGCAAACAAGTAGTTCGTGTAGTCCATGAATGATTTTCGCCATCGGTCGTTGCATTGCATGAACTTACAGCATTTAACAGAATTTGTAGCTTCTTAAAGCTTAGATTCATAGGATTTCTAAATTCTGTAAAGCATGACATGGCTGAATTCTTGCTTCTGGGCATTCTTATACTATTCATTGTTGAAATATTTGTTCTCCTGATGAATAATACTCATCGGCCGTTGCATGAACTTACAACATTTAACAGAATTTGTGGCCTTCTTAAGCTTTAGATCATATGATTCCTGAGTTCTGGAAAGCATGACATGGCTGAATTACTATTTGTGGGCATTCTTAAGCTGTTCATTGCTGAAATAGTTGTTCTCCTTATGAACAAAATTCATCGATCGTTGCATGAACTTACAGCATTTAACAGAATTTGTAGCTTGTTAAGCCTAGATTCATATGGTTTCTGAATTTTGTGAAGCATGACATGACTGAATTCCTGTATCTGAGCGTTCATAAGTGGTTCATTGTTGAAATATTTGTTCTCCTTATGAACAAAACTCGTCAGTCGTTGCTTGAACTTGCAACATATTAGCAGAATTTGTAGCTTATTAAGCTTAGATTCATATGATTCTTGAATTCTGTAAAGCATGTGACATGACTGAATTCCTTTTTCTGGGCATTCTTAAGCGGTTCATTGTTGAAATTATTTCTTCGAACAAAACTATGGTTTCTTTAGTAATTCTTTGGCAGATTTGTATGCTTCTAACCAGAATCTTATTAAAAATGGGAGCATATGGATTGGTTCGGATCAATATGAAATTATTACACGTCCCTTCTATTTTTTCACCCTGGTTGATCATAGTAGGCATAATTCAAATCAATCACTTATTCCTCCATCTCTCGTATGGGTTTCATAGTTATAGGAATTTGTTCTATAAGCGGGGACTCAATGAAGCTATTTTACAAATAATCTCTCATGGATTTATTGGCGGCTGCTCTTCCTTACTAAAATTACTAAAATTATGTTTTATTGTTTAAGCTTTGTCTTAAAAATTTGGTTTTAGTTTTTATTATTAATTTTTTTATTAACCATTTGATTTCAAAATAATATAACTAAAATTATTTTGGTTGTGTTTGAAAAAAACATTTCATTAAATAATTGTTCTATTTGTGGCAATTATCCCATAATAAAAAAAAAAAAAAAATTATGTGATTATTATTATTATTATTTTAATTTTAAGGATTCAAATCTCTAATCTTTTGATTAAAAATATAATACTTTATATTAGTTAATATATGCTCGTGTTCGTAAAAAAAATTGATATTATTACATGTTTATTTTAATGAACCTATAATTTAGTGACTTTTACTGATGTGAGTAATTAATTTATATAATGTTTATGAAAAAATTAGCGTTTCCCATATTATTTAAGTAGTCATCAAACTAGTATTGAGAGTTTTTTTTTAGTCCACTTTAAAGATTAATTCATGTATTTAAAAGGTAACAAATCCCACCAAATGAATGAAAATTAAAACAATATCGCTATTAAAATGGTAGCTACTTAATTATAAATAAATAAATTATAATCTTAATGACGGAAATTCAACGATCTACGTTAAATGATCGACTATTATATACGTTTCGTTTATGTCACTAAAACTTATTTAAAGTAAAAATAAAATATATATGCTATTTAAAAGAATAACTTAAAATGGTAGTTAATTGAAAAAAAAACAAATTATAATTTTAATCATAATAAAAGTCAAAAGATCGAACCGTCTATGTTAACTCTCATTTATTGACTGAGAGCGTCATCTTTAATTTTTACAGACTGGCGGAGTATTCGACACATATGATGAGAAAAGGTGCTACACCGAGAATCTTTTCGTGATAATGTTGGATGGCAAACTTAAATATAATTAATAATTTGTCATATTTTTTTATGTAATGCTAGTTGTCTTGAAGTGTTTAGATTAAAGACGTTTTCATGTGAAAACTATTCTTTTTAGAATGTTTTGTTCTCATTCACATGTTTCTTAGAAAAATTTATAGGAGGTCTACTCCAGACCAAACACACTTGCAAGAGATAGTAACGGTCGGTTAAAGTTAACATTCCTAAAATGTGACGTCGCATACCCAGAGGCCCTAAAAATGCATGGAAAAGAGGGTCGGAGTGTAACAGCTCAACCACACCGCTAATAGATATTGTCCTCTTTGGGCTTTCCCTTTTGGGCTTATTCCTTTCTCCGATCAATCAATGTGGGACTCCTACCAAATCCACCCCTCTTCGGGGCCCAGCATCTTTATTGACACACTGCCTCGCGTCTACCCTTTTGGGAAAGAGTGAGAAAGCTGACACATTGTCTGATGTGTGGCTTTGATACCATTTGTAACAGCTCAAGCACACCAATAGCAGATATTATCCTCTTTGGACTTTACCTTTCGAGCTTCCCCTCAAGACTTTAAAACGTCTCTGCTAGAGGAAGGCTTTCACACCAAGGACATAGGTTTAAATAAATATATAAAATCGATGATATTGTTTAATGAGTATAAATATTAAATATCTTAAATTTAAATGTCTATGTTTAAATAGGTTTAAATATGCAATTTTCTTCGAATTAACTAAAATTAAAGAAAAATGATTAAAAATGATAAAAAAAAAAAAAATTAATATAGTGGATTTTTTTCCTTATTATAACCAAATAAAATTAAAATTATATAATTACTAAATGCATAATATATAAATAAAAATAATAAGATTTTTTTTTTGTTAATTTTTTCTTTTATATTTTTGTTTTATTTTTTATTTTTATAGATGGTCATTAAATTTACATTAAAATAGTTTAAAAAAATTACTTAATATATATATTTTAATTTAATTAGACAATAAATATATCAAAACCACATCAACTTTTTAACTCAAATATATCAATGAAAAAAATCATTTAAATTATTAGATTTATTATAAAAAAATAATTAATTAAATCTTTATACTTATTTTAATAATAAATCAAAGTAATTAAAACAATTTTCACTTTAATTAGAAAGAAACGAATGAGGAATTTTTCTCTCATTTCTTCTAAAAAAAATAGTTAATTAAATATAAACTAATTAAGATCTTAATAATTTTTATATTAAATAGTTAAAATAATGAAAAATAATAACTAGTTATAATTTTATTAACTCAAAATTTCATATTTATATTATTAATTACAATATAAATATAATTAATTAAATTGATTAAATTATATGCTTACATTAATTTAATATTTTTTAAAAATAATATCTTGAGTTTTAACGCCTAAATTAATAAAAATATGATTGAATTTTCATTTTTGTTTGAAAAATACTAACTCAAAAAAAAAAAATATATTTTGTTTAAAAAATACCCATAAATTTTTAAAAATATTTTAAAAAATACCCATTTCATTAATATTCTTATTTATATATAAAAAATGTCTATAACATTGGTACCACGTTTCAAAAATACTCATAAATTTTTTAAAGTAACATTAAATATTTTGTAAATAATTTACGAGGTATCGATGGATGATTTTTGTTCATATATTGGGAATAATTTTTTTTTTTTTTTTTTTTTTTAG